AAGGAAAGAAGGTCTGAGATCCGGGTGTAATAATGCAGGCCTCTGACTGTCATTTCCCTGAGAGACACAACACAGCTTAGTGAAAGCACCATGACATGCCATCCCAGTGAAAGAGCTTTCCTGGCAGCATTCACCCCCCTATGCCAGGGTTGCTCCCCACGGTCTGCTTATCCTCCTTGAGTGGGAGCCCAGCCGCCGTGACTAAACAAGGCAGTAAGTAGATTTGCCAGCCCAAATGCCAGATCATCTGAATACTTTCCCCCTTTCTTTCCTAGCCTCATTCTGTTCTCCAGGGGAGCATAAAATGAGAGGGGAAGTGAGAAGAAAGAAACTGAGAGACTAAATGCTGCTTAAAGAAGCCATACTCCCTGACCTTCAGTCTCATTTAGCTCCTACGTAGCCTGGGGGATAAAACTGACTGCTGAGGATATACCCAAGAGACCCTGGCTAGGATTGTAAAATTCAAACCAAATACAGGGGGCAGATGGGACATGCAGACTTGGAATTAAAACAAGGGTATCCCTTGAGCGTCAATTTTATTAAGATATTTGAAGAAAAAAACCCACTGGTTTCCTAGAACAATAGACAGGAAAACTGATACGAATTCTTATGACAAAATGAGACTTCCAAGTTATTTCATGCCTGTGGCTGTAGCTTCAGGATGTAACTCCACGTTTCCTGGGGCTCATGATGTTTCTCTTTTGATATCAGGAATATTTTGGTAAATTTTTTTTCTGAAGCACTAGAGTAAGATAAGTTCAGAAAAAATGTGTCCATTGGATTTGACAATTCTGAGGTCCCTGGTGAAGTGGTAATAGCATTTTTAGAGGGTTGGGTTTAGGAGGGAATGAGAGATGAGGAAGTAGGCCGAATAAAAAGAGCTGGATCCTAAAGAGAGAAACAGAGAAAAGAAAGGAGCAGAGTGGAGGATGGGGACCTGTCATCATCATCTCTGTGTGCAGTGCAAGGGAGGACAGTGTCATAATTGTGGTGGGGTGCTCAAAGAAGGGACTGCCCTGAAGATAAGGTGGCATCCACCCAGCACCTATGGCCATGGGAGGTGGCTAGCAGCTGAGTAGGACAAACTTGGGGATGCTAGTGGGCTATGGAGTGGGTCAGTGTTTGGAGAGGAAAAAGGTCTGGCCTGTATTTGGAAGAGCTAGAGTCTCTTCTGACTGCGTCCAGAGTTACTAATGTAAATTGGGCAAATAGCTCTTACTGTTTTTATCTCAGTAATGGAAAAGATGCTCTTTAAATATTAGTCCAGCTCTAACATTCAATAATACAGCTATATATTTTGATGACAGTTCACGGTTTCTTCCTGAACCCTGTTGGCTCCCCAGACACTTAACTCCAGGTCGGGATTCTTTAACAACTGGCATCTTGAGGCAACATTGGTTCTCTGAGAAAGTGAAGGTTTTTGCTGGCTGGATCAGAAAAAGGTACAATAGCTTTTTTTTTTTAATGTAAGATTGATAACACTGAGGAATACCCTGTCTTATACCAATCATGATTTTCCATTTCTCTCATTTTAGTAAATGCCCCTCTTGAGAAAGCTTGCCTCTGCTGTAGCTAGTTGCTCTATATTACCTAGCAGCCTCTGAAAATGACATTGACATCTTACAATGACATTGACCACAGGCAGACTCAGTGATGACAATAACAACAGTCATCTCCTGGTCCCTCTGTGTGCCAGCCAGTGCACTGAACACTTACTATTATCTCTAATTTCATCCATTCAGTAAATAGTTTTAAGAACAATGTTCTGGATGCTGGTGACACAACGGTCACAAAACAGACAAGAATTCCTCTTCTCATGGAATGTACATTCTGGAGGGTTATGTTCTATGTTTGGTATTTTCCTGCCATGGATGTCTTGTTATTCCCATTGAAAGGATGAACAAATGCATGTGGAATCCATTGCTATTGGCTTATCTGTTTTTCCTTCTTCCAAACCCATAGAATTTGGACTGGTAACACACCCAGTTAAAAATATTCACCTTTCCCCAAATCTCTGGTATTTAGATGGCCAAGTGTGTGTGCCAAGGTGTTTGTGTGTATATATATATGTGAAATGAAATAACACATGTGCAAAACAGAATGAGGTATATCTAGAAGTCACTGGGAAAGGGTTATGTTCCCTCAAAATGAAAAAAGCCTTCTGAGGAGGTGGTTTTGCTTCACTGTCTTTAGGAAGCGATGCCTGGGAATGGAGTAGCCATCTGGGGGATGGTGTCAAAAGCCACATGCTGAGCATTGTGAAGGGAAGAGCGTCAAGGAGCAGCAAGCAGTTGCACTAGTCTTGGACTCGTGAGTCACGGACTTCTTGTTACATGAGAAAAATAAGCCCCTTTTTTGTTAAACCCTTTTGGTCAGGTTTCTATTCCAGGCAGGCAAACGCAATCCTCACTGACCCAAGTGACTTGCTCACAGCCATTGAGCTAGTGATGACAGCCAGGATTAAGACACGGATCTGTTTCATTTCAAAAGTCATTCTTAGGTTTGTCAAAAGGGAGTTGGGGAGAGAGAGCATGGGGAGAAATGCCAGATATAGGGGATGGGGAGGAAGGCAGCACATCACACTGCCATGTGTGTACCTATGCAGCGATCTTATATGTCCTTCACATGTACCTCCAAACCTAAAATGCAATTTAAAAGAAGCCGTTCTCTTTCCAGGCTGTTGGGTACCTTCCAGGTTTGTTACTCTTTCTATGTACTTCTCATTTTAGTTTCCTGGAGGCTGGGAAGGTGCTCAGGAACTCACAGATTCTTACATTCCTTCCTGAGATTTAGAAATTTATTTCTATGTGTATCTTGTGCAATATTTGACTTTTCATATTCAAATGTGACCTCAACTCTCCAACACTCCTGGCACAGCTAAGCCACTGACTTCCACTGGCTGGTTCCATCAGCATAGCATCCTAGAACTTACGATTCTCCTCAGAAATCAGAACTGTGAGACTTTTTACTAAGCCACCTTTATTTTATTTTTATTATAAGGAATAAGTTAGCAGCACTGAGACCCATATTCACCCCACTCAAGAGATTGGAAGTCCAACCATCACCCCTCCTCCCCATATTACAGCCTGGTACCTGCTTCCTCCTGATTTTTCTTTCTTGTGAGAATTGGTGTATCCTTGATCCTGAAAACCCAATTCCCCCATCATCATTTTCTCTGAAGCTGACAGCTTTTCTGTTACTTCTAACACTTTCATTCTGATCTTTCAGCTGTTGCACCTGGGTGTTCCCCAAACCTCCACACTGACCCCACACATTCAAGTATGCAGGTCTAGGACCCTCCCAACCTGTCTCAGTTGGCCAGAATTAATCAGGTCAAGCCTATCTGTGTCCTGAGTAAACATACACACACTTACACGCAATAATAATACTGAAAAACTCATTTAAGTGAGCACTGCTGTAGTTATCTCCCACACAGCATTATGATATGAATTGTCAGCAACTAATACTCTTCTCACAAACTCACTGCTAAAGGCATAGATTCCTACTTCAGGGACCTACAAGAGATATTGCTTTAGGGGAACAAAGCACTGCTATGGAACAACAGTGCCTCACCTACTACATCTTCAAAGAGCAGAATGCTCTAAATTCTTTCTCTCCAAGGACAGAATCACTGTCTGGAAAATGCGTATGAGAAATTTCAATTCCTTTATCAAAAGCCTTTCAGGCTGGTTCTCAGCACAATATGCATGAGGTAAGCAAGTAAAGTAGATTCAAGCATGTTCATGACAGTCTTGTTTTAATACTTTGAAACATTGTAATATGCAAACACATATAAGAGGACAATTGCTTTTGGGTTGTTTATTGCTATGTAACAAACCATCCCAATGCTTGGTGTCTTGAAACAACAGCCATTTTTATTTTCTCTCACAATTTTGTAGATTAACTGGGCTCAGCTCTATGGTTCTTTTGCTCCACTTGACATCCACTCTATCTGAGTCATCTAAGGGCTTATCCGGATTATAATGTCCAAGATGACTAATTTCACAAATCTAGTGCCTTGGCAGGAACAGCTGGGGGACTGCCCTCTGCCGGGTTGCTGGGATAGCAGTGCCACTTTCTCACTCTACATAGTCTCATCTGCTCATCTGCGTTCTCTCTCTCTGATACTTCCAGTAAGGTAACTCAACTTTTTAAACAGCAGGCTTCCAAAATCATGAAAGTAGAAATTGTCAGGCTTTCCTAAGGCTTGGGCCCAGTTACTGATATGGTGTCATTTCCACTGCATTGTAATAGTGAATCAGAGGGCCAGTCCAGAGCCAATATGACACTAGACTATCTTGCAGTGTGAACTAGGAGGCATGGTCCATTGAGGGCCATCTTTGGAGTTACTGCCATTCCTGTTCATTCTACCAAATTTGGAAATGACAATTGATATGTTAAATCTCCCTTTAGAAGAAAATATGTCACCATATTAGATCCATGAATAATCTAGATGCATAGATATAGGGAGCATCTAGAAATCAAACAAATCTAGCAAATATGACTTGTTTGAAAAACATGATCAGGACCTCTGAGAAAAAGTCACATTTTATTCACTTGTTACATACAGAAGAAATCAAGCTTTAAATAGATGGGTAAATCTAATATTCATGGGATAATAATTTATAACATCATCTATTGGATATTAATTAGGGATAGGCACTAGGCTATCATTCTTTACATGTAATTTTGTCACATCTTCATAAAAACCATATGGGATAAGTATTATTCCCTCCAGTTTCCAGATGAAAAATTGAAGTTCAATGAGGTTTGTAACTGCCTAAGATCACAAACCTAGCAACAGGACAAGCCGAGATATAACTCAAGTCAACCTGATATTGAAACCCATATGTTCTTAAACTCTACACTGTCATCTACATGGAAACAAGAGCCACATCCCATACTCCTGTCTATAATTTCCTATCTAGACACTGTGCCGAAGTCAAGATTTTAAAATCCACTTTGTATCTTGGCATGACAGTACAGACAATTTCCTCAGAGCTCTCAGATCTGTAAGCATATGCCTCTGTGTTTAAACTTGAACCTTATCCAAACCCCAAGGTTATATTGGGGAAAATTTTCCTCCTAGGTTATTTAAGTATCAGGAAAATTCCCCCTTTGGCACTCCAGCTGTGAATCACAAACTCTTAATTCGTGCCATCTAAGGAAAAAGAAATGGGACACCTGTGCTTTTGTGGTAACATAATTTTGGAAACATCTCACGAACAATCAGCTTATCGTATGAAATGTAAGTGCTTTGGTAAAATATTTAGTGATGGAAATTGCTAGTGAACTTGTATTGATATATCTACAATGTTGGGCTGAGAGAGGCCTTCTCAGCAATGTGTTCCAGTCACGTAGGGCTGCTGCTGTCCTTTTTAAGAATTTCCTGTATTCTTGTTTTGAGGCCTTTACCCTATTTCTCATTTAGAAAGTCTTTTGCACCCAATCTCCACCTTTCTAAATGCTTCAAGTTCAAGCTCAGATCTTTCCAAATCAAGTTTTCCCTCACCATTTGAGTTGAAATAAATTACTCTCTCATGTGTTAACCTGTATTAGTTAGCAATTAACACAGGAAAAAAGAATCACTCCAAAACTTAAAAGCTTAAGACGACAACTGCTCATTTGCTCATAATTGTATGGGTCAATAACTGGGCAGAGTTTAACTGGCATTGATGGGGTTTATGTCTATGTTTCCGTCAGTTGGTGGACTGGCTGGGGGCCAACTGGCCAGCTGACAAGGACCTTACACTCAAGCCTGAGGCCTTGGCTGTGCTGCTTGGAATGGCTGGACAGTTTGGGCCTCTGTCTTCACAAGCAGAGAGTAAAAGTCATAATGTTGTTGTAGAACACCATTGTGCCCCATTTCATTGATCAAAACAAGTCACAAGGCTGGCCCAGATACCAAGGGTAAGGATGGTAAAATAAGACTCCAACAGATTCTTTTTCAAATATGGCTTCATTGTCTTGATTTAAAAAAAAATTCTATAATTTTCTTCAAAGTTGGAATTCTAGGATTAGTGAACCTGACATTATAAACATCTTCAATTGAGTTTTTCTACAAATCATGTTTTTCAATTTTTATTTTGAACTAATTTTTGATAGAAAAGTTGAAAAAAAATAGTACAGATAATTTTCAAATATTCTTTACCCAGCTTCACCAACATCAACATCTTACATAATCAAAATATAATTGTCAGAGGAGGAAAATCAACTTTGGTGCAATACAATTAACAAAACTAAATACTTTATGTGAATTTCAACACTAATGCACTTTTACTGTTTTAGACTCTATCCAGGCTCCCACTTGCATTTATTTGTTACTCTGCCTGAGTTTCCTATAGTCTGTAGCAGTTCCTGAGCCTTCCCTTATCTTTTAGATTTTGACACTTCAGAATAGTTTTGTTGTTGTTGCTGTTGTTCTTGTTGTTGAGAC